ATACAAGTAAATGAACAAAGTGGAAACTATATAAAAACATTTGAAGCTTAAAATTCTCTATTATAAAAGCAGCGTCTGTATCAACTTTGTTCGGTTCAACATTTTCCATTTTATCCAGTATATATCCCCCCCACCTCATTTCCTCAGAATACATTTTTAGTTCCACATTCTCCCTGGCACAGCAAACCAGGTCACTCATTTAGCCCGGCCAGACAAAGTGAACCCACAACCTCGGGCTAATGGGGAAGTCTAGCGTGTCTGTCCGTCTGCGTCTGAGTTTTCCAAGCTTCTGACTTGGCTTTGAACTAGCGTCCGATGGGGTTTGGCAAAGCCTCAGCGATATCCAACTTCTCTTAGCGTTTGTGGCCGGAGGTACAGCTTCAAAGCACCAGAGAGCACCAGACCTACCACTGACCCGGTGAAGTTTGATCCAGCCGAGAGAGACGGACACAGGGAGACGATCGGAGCATCTGTGTGAGCATTTCCGAGTTATTGGTAGAAGAAACTTGGTCATCTAATATATCTTGGTATTGTCTTTATTGTTGTATTTTGGCTGATAAAAAAAGAAAAAAAAATGTGGGTAATAAAAAATAAATAAAATAAAATACTGTATTCACACTTCCACGCACCACATCAAAACGAAACTAGTCTGGTATTTAGATATTTTTTAAATTAAATATCATGTTTGAGTAAAAAAGGATGTATTATTAAGAAGAGTTACTTGACAAAACTTTCTTTAAAGGTACTGTATGTAGTCTGCGCTCTTACAGTTTGGAAAAGGTATTACAAGTACAGCTGAACCTGGGTTGCCAGTGTCTTAACCTGCACATACACTGTAGGACACATACAAGTTTTTCTCATTCTCAGTACATGGACAGGTCTCATATGAAAGCTCAGAACCTCCAGAATTCCCTCCCTGAGCTGCAGAGGCCGCACTAGCACTGCTTCATGACTGGGTGGAGGTGCTGGGGTTTAGGTAGTGACCATTCAAATCAGAGAGAGGCATTTTCAGTTTAAACCAACTGGATTTTAACACTGAAACTGGCAACCCAAATGAGACTCGTGTGAGGCTAATTTTGTTTTCTGATTGCATGATTGTCTTGGAACCAAAAGACCAAATATTAACATAAAACATTTAGCCAACATGTCCAACCATTTTGTAATGAATAATAAATTAGTATTACAGTTGGCATCAGTAAAAGCTGATTTGAACATGTCTGCGTCATATCTTGTATTTTTATTGGATTAATTAATTCAAATTGAACACTGGACAAAAGGTAAAAACAAAAACTTGAGCCAGTCTCGACAGAAACTAAGTGCTGTGTTGATGCTAGCATTGTTTGTGCCGGCTTAATCATATTTTCAATCACTTTGGCACCACTTAGTTTTCACACAATGGAAGAAAACTTTTAATCACCTAAAACAAATGTCAGAAAAGAACAATGCCTTATGCTCTCAAGTACAAGATCATTATTATTATTATTTTTTTTTTATTTATTTACTTTTTTTTAAATCAGTAAGCACCTGTTGGTTACCCTGATTCATCAGCCGGTTTCACTTCATGGAAACCGTCTGACCTCGCAGCATTAGGATTCAGTCACTGGACGATAGGCGGGAAACATTTTAAATTTATATTTACGTATGTAATGCGCCACTAATAGGGCTAATTAGTATAATACGCTTTTCCCAAATGCTGTAGGAAGAAGGATAATAATATCTTTCCCCTTGATAAAATTCACCAAACATTCTCTTTGTTCTGGCTTTAAATCCTCGATCTCGGGAATCATTGCCAACACAGAATGTATGACTTTTTGTACATCCATCTCGACCGCTTTGTTTACTGTTGTGCTGTACCACAAAAGGGACCAAAACAGGCTCTTGAGTTTGACATCATGGCTTCACACCTCTTTGCTGATTGGCTGGTGTGTGGTCTACAACTTCCGGGGTTCTTGCAAACTGTCTAGTGTGTTTCGATTCCTGACCTAGTCACTGGAGAGAAATGAATTTGAGTGCAGGCACTAGGTGGCGCCAGCCTGGCTACCTGTTGGCTGCCAATGAATCAAATTCAGATTTAACAATGGACAAAAAGTAAAAAGAAAAACTTGAATCAATCTGAATGAAACTAAACCGTTTTATAGGCTGTGTTCACACACAAACATAATATTCCAAAAAGTATTATTATTATGATTTATTTATAGCCATATCATGATTTCAATTGTATCACGACTCATGTAAACAGTTTATTTTGACTTCTGCTTTTTCAAAAAGTTCACGCTTCACTGTGATTGGTTAATTTACCTGTCACTCACTCAGCGCCTTACAGAAGCTGACCAATGGGAGTGGATGGGGAAAAAGTGATTGTCTTTAGGCTTAGAGCTATATTAAAAAAAAAAAAAAAAAGTGAAATATGTATGCAAAACTAAACCAGAACTATCAAGACTAAACTGGGGCCAAACTGGGACCAAACCAAGCCTTAATCAAAACAAAACTGGATGTCAACATTACCAGTTCCTCCGACCCGGTGGCGAGTTCATCTCTGTTGGTATACAAGACTTAATTATCTCAGAAAAAAGTCAGATTTTTGAAGGCACTTTCTGGCACCCATGAAAAGGTCAGTTCTAATTAGCAGCACTGTGTTGATGCTAGCATTGTTTGTGCCGACTTAATCATATTTTTCTTCACTTTGGCTATAGGAACCCCGCGTTGCACCACTTAGTTTTCACAAAATGGAAGGAAACTTTTAATCACCTAAAACAAATGTTAGAAAATAACACTGCCTTATGCTCTTAAGTACAAGTTTTTTTTTGTTTTTTTTTTCAGCAGTAAGCATCTGTTGGCTGCTAATGATTCACAGCTAGTTCGAGAAAGGAACAAAAATAATCAAATATAATTGCACACAAATTTCATACCTTTACTGCCAAAAAAGTGATTTCCTATCATGGAACTGGTGTTTGCTTACTTTAATGCATTTAATTAAAATAAAATAAATTATCCATGAACAATGATCCAGTGTATGTAAATGTGTTTACTCAAAGCCATGACATATAAAACATAGAAACAAGAATAAACTACCGTATTTTTTGGACGATAAGGCACACCTAAAATCCTTTAATTTTCTCAAAAATTGACAGTGCGCTTTATAATCTGGTGCGCCTTATTCTGGTTGTGCTTATTGACCTTGAACTGATTTTATGTGGTCACGGCGCTAAAAACTGCGCTAAAAAATCTGTCAAAATGTTTTAGCATGACTTTGGTAAGTAGAGGTCTGCGCGGGATAGAATTTTCAGTCCTGCTCCTGCCCGCACCTGCAAAGAATTGTAATTTTCATTCCCTTCCCCACATCCACACACTGATCTGTTGGATGCAGTGGCAGGGTGAGTCCACTGGTCCATAGTCCCCTGCTGCCAGTGAGACATAGATCTGAGTGTCATCTGCATAATTGTGGTAGGACACATTATTGCTGCGTATTAACTGGCCTAACGACAGCATGGAGAGATTGAACAAAAGGGGGTCCAAGATCGACCCCTGGGGCACCCCACAGGTCAGGGCCATGTGATTTGAGACATAGTTTCCAATTTCAACAAAATACTTCCTGTCTTCTACATCGGACTTGAACCAGTTTAGTGCAGTACCAGAGATGCCCAGCCAGTTTACACTCATATTTAGTTTGTGAGACTGCATTTTATCATACCACCCGCCCGCCCCCGCAATGAGCTTTCAAAATGTGTCCCGTGCAGCATTGTTCTGTGCCGGGTCCCGCAGGAGTGCAGGGCTCTACTACGAAACTGCACTGGTTGATGGATTGTCTGAGCATTACGGCTACTGAAGTCAGGAGCCTCGCGGAGTAATACACATTCACCAGGACAGGGAGCCAACACGGAGCCACGATCTGCCAAAAGATTGTGAATGCCTGGACCAAGGGATCAGTCTCAAGTGTCATCCGTTTGTTTCACTTATCGGTGTGCCTTATGTGTGAAAATAGACGAGAGAATTCAACATTATTGATATTGCGCTTTATAATCCGAAAAATATGGTACTTAAGTGGGAGAATGTGACCACTGGACTAGACCCTTGCACCACCAACTTCAGCCTTTAGCCAGGAAGTTCACCACATAGAAACTGCACCACCCATGCGTCTGTCAGAGCTGAAACAACACACGTTGAGATTCAAAGCTTTTCAATATTTCTTACATATAATGATTTACGCCTTTATGTTCTTGTACGTTCATTGTGAGGCTGTTTATAGAAATATAGCCTTTCTGTTGGAGGATACGCCAACTGCTTCTCCATCAAGATAGAATTGCTTTGATGGAATCTTGCACAGTATGACATTAAATCTGTCTTGCATTTATTCCATTACAGGTGTTTTTATAACCCAAAGCCACAGACTCCTCCAGGGAGATGAATATGTTTAATGCCATACTTTGAGGTACACTTCACTGTCTCCGTGGGGAAATATGTCCTCTGCATTTGACCCATCCTTAAATGCCACTGGAGCAAACTGTCAGGAGCAATGAGCGCTGGGAACCCATCTCCATTATCTATCTATTGCTAGGTCTCGTCAGGACTACCAGAGCTGGAGGATTTGAACTATTGTGCATGTTTTGGTTTGATGTAGAAAACCTAAAGAAACCACCCAAACAAACAGCGAAACATGCAAAGAAACTGCACAGAAAGGCCCAGGAGTTGAACCCAGAACCTTCTTGCCAAACTGTGGTAAGCTACAGACAAGCAGGTCGACCCTCCACCAGAAAAGCTTAAAATATAATCTTTGTAATTCATATTTCATCCATCCATTTTGTACATCAACAAGAAAAAAAGATAAATGACACTACACACACACTAGTATCTCTTATTGTCCGTGCAGAGGCTCTTGAATCACATCAACTATTCACAACAGTCTGCTTCAGCTCCCATACACACCCTCCGTTTGCCCAGCTCTGTTATAGTGCAGCTTACACATACATAAGACTGAGCGCTTATATCTGATTTATACATACGTGTCTTCCGCGCTGAGTCCTCTACAAACAAAGAAGAGATGTCCTCGTCCACTCCAGCCGAGTTTTTCGCGATGCACGTGTACGCTCCTGTGTCCTCGAAATGAACGTTACTGATGTGCACTTCACTTCCATTGGCTGCAAAATAAAACAAAATACAAATTAGGCTCAGAGTTGCATCGTGTAACTATTCTGGAGGAGGGTTCATCAAAAGCTTAAGTAAAATTTGAAACTTAAAATAGGCCAGATTTGCTGTTGACGATGATGTTTTATTGAAATGAGTCTTATGCACTTATGTATAAAAATAAAACATACTCTCAAGTCAAAGAACTCCTGAAAAGCAGGACTAAAGAAAGAAAGAAATATAATAATGCTTTTAAGAATCCACTTTGAACTTCTTTAGTGGGAGGTGATAATCGAAGGATATTTCAGTAATTGCATAAGTGGTAATTAGCAGTACAATCTGGGCAGCAGTTTCAGTGGTGTTCTGCAATAGATATGGCCATAAAAGGAGACACCATTACATTAGTTTTGAAAAATTCCATCGATGTTGTTCACTTTTAGCAAAGACCTGGACAAAGCACACTATTGCTCGGATTTCGATCAAGCAATTCACTTTTTGTTTGGGGGCCTGTCATGTTCTTTTTTCTATGGATATGTCATTGTTCTGCCTGGAATGTTCCACAGTACGACATTAATTATAGGTTTTATAGCTCAAAAATACCGAGAAACTTGGTCTGGTTTGGTCTCCATGAAGATAGAAAGGCAAAGGAATAACATCTCCATGGAGAAAAGCGTTTGACGGACCTTCCACCAGAAAAGTTACACAATGCACTTTTAAATGATTTATATTCAGCTTATTTGACTTTTTCAGCTTAATTGAGATTTCTAACTTTGAAATAACTTGTGGAATAAATACCTTCATTACTTTCATTATCACATACTTCTCTGTGTTGTTAAAGTAAATGTATGTAGATTTACAGTTTTTAAAAAGGTACAATTTTTTTTTTATCTTAACACACAGTTAGGTCATGCTTATGAAGTCTAAAGTTTATCTTCATGGAGACCAGACTAGACCAAGTTACAGGTCAGATCTGTGGAGAGGGAGCCCTGCCCACAGTCAGAATTCCTTTTGTGCCTTTTGTGTTTTTGAGCTATAAAACCACTTGTAATTGAATAAATGTAAGGTAGAGCTGTTAAATCTCATACTGTGGAACATTCCAGACTCCAGAGACAATGACATATCCATAAAAACAAGCAGGTGACGGACCCCCAAGCAAAAAGTTACATAGTGCACCTTTAAAATAAGTACACCTTCACAGGACTAAAGTTGATACTAGTGAGCATCCTTATTTTACCTTGTGCTTATTCTTCACTTTAACCTTTTTAACAACATTGATTTGTTGTAAAATGAGTAGGATTTGTGCGGGATAACCATGCTTCTCGAAAGATTTGATTGGTTCAATACACTATAATTAAAGTAAATAAATAATTCAAGGTGCATTATATAATATCTCCTTGAAAGACCGTAATCTTGTCTCCATAGAGATGTTACTGTTTCTCTCAAATTTTCAAAGGTATGTAATTAAACGTATTTATCTCACACGCGACTGTTCAAACAGAAAAGTTACACTTTTCTAGAATCTGAAACCATCCAGATCAATGCAATGGCTATTCAAGACCCGTGTTTTTCTCATTTATCTTGCCCCACTACAGATAGATTGTAGAAGCAGCTCTTTGGGTCAAAATATGTCACTGCATGTTGTCTACAGCTATTCCAGTGTTGATAATTAGGAAGTGTGCGTTAGCCTGCTAGTTGGTCTCCGAGAGTTATGAAAAGTGCATTGCAGTGAATAATTAGGATGCTCTGAATGCATAAGTTAAGTGAGGAATAACTTTGGACCACTTCAAAGTATTTAAAATGAACTACTAGTTTTGTTTTAAATATTTTAAAACCTGTACTTTCTCATTAATGGAAATCTGTAATACATTTATTTTCAGACTGGACCAGTTTATACTCTAAACTTGCGAATAAAAAATTACTACCTCCCCCAAAAATATAGGAATTTTATATAAATTCAACCTGGATTTTTTTTTTTTTTTTTTTTTTTTGCCTCATTACAAGTCTCTAAATTTCTTGTTTAGTAAGATCCGCTTCAGCTTTGACTTGGGAATTGTCAAGCCCCAACAAAAGCTCAAACTGCTGTCTCTCAGATCATCCCCAGGGACACCAGCTATATTCTTATATTTACCCCAAATAAATCAGGTGGAATTTGAAATCTGACTTTCCTCTGTGTAGAGCTTGTCCCCACTTAAAATGTAGAGTAGATCAGACGGCAAAACTACAGAGCCATTTGTCTGTGCTTCAAAGGGTTCAGGAACAGATTGAGTATGGATTGAGAATCATTTTAATCAGACATTTTAGGAAAAATAGATGGAAACAATGAAGACTTTTCAAAGACAGAAAAAATCAGGTGCAATGGTTTGAAGTCCCATTTTAGTGCTAGTCCTTGTTTCTAACTGTGGGTCAGTGGACTGAGTACCTTGCAGGGTGAGCTGTTTGGAGAGCTTGGAGGAGATGTCCATGCCGTTCTTGAGCCAGGAGAGCTGTGGGCTGGGGATGCCCTCAGCGTGGCACCTCAGACTGGCTGTGACGCCTGGTTCTCTGGCCTGGCTCTCTGGGTACACCCGGATCACTGGAGGGACTGCACAACACACAGAGAAAGAGCAAAAGACGGGAGTTAAAACATGGCAGGAAAATGGGCATGGGAGGTTTGACGCTGAAACCACAGGGGGAAACAATGCACACAGCAATATTTAGAACAATAAATATAGAGCGGTATATAAATAACTTAAAGTAAAGTACTGAAGGAACTAGGGATGGGACAAGAAACAATAATATAATTTACTGTGATAAAAAGGGTAGACAATAATCTCTTGTGGGATGTTTTATATAATCATTATATCAGGGGTCTCCAACCTTTTTCCTCTGGTGGGCTACTTTTACAAAACAAAAATACCAGAGAGAGATAGCAAGAAACTGAGTAAATATAAAAGCCACAGCAAGCCTTAGATGAAATACAGTTAGATGCCTATAAAACATAAACCATTATCCATTTATCAGTGTACAAAGTTAGAAATCAAAATGATACATGAAGAATGGTACTAAACGTTTAATCAATCAGATTTTACTAGTTCAGAAATGCCTTGGTGAGCTACTTGGAAGGCGGTGGAGAGCTACCAGTAGCTCCTGATATACAGGTTTGGAGAACCCTCTGTTGTATAATCGCTATATCACCAGAATGTACAGAAAAAAAAAAATATATATAAATATATATATATATATATATATATATATATATATATTATATATTATATAATATATATAACCTCTGCATGCTTTATTTTAATGGGGAAAACCTGAGGAAACCACCCAAACACAGGGAGAACCATACAAAATGCAAGGCCCAGGCAACCGCAACCCAGAAATTGAACCAAGAACCTTTTTGCTGTAAGACACAGGTGTCAAACATACGGCCCGGGGGCCAGATCCGGCCCTCCAAGACCTTTAATGTGGCCCTCGGGTGATTTTCTACTAAAATATTTTAATTATATTTTCTATTAAAATATTGGTAATTTTCTGTGATGTTTATCATAGCAGCGTCTCTGTGCGTGGCCCCTCCCACCAGAGCAGCACATATGAAGACTTGCCTCTTTCCAAACGCTCTTAAAGGACGATCATTTTGACTGTTGACCGTGACACCCTCATCAGAAAAATGTCAAAAATGAGAAAAGGGGAGTCGAGTGCAGGATTTTACAAGAAAAATGGACTTATTCCTGTTTGCATACAAGTTCATGTTAAAACATTGTGTTGAAATTGTATTTTTCTTAAAGTTTCAGGTTGTTCATAATATTATAATATTTTGTTAGAGAGAAATAGTTAATCAATTATAAAAAGATTTCTGTAATAGATTTGGGTTCCTCTGCACAAATCTTTGAACTTATTGCTATTTTTGGGGTATATATGCTGTGAGTTTTCTGATCCGGCCCCTTTGGGATCAAAATAGGTTGGATACGGCCCCCGGACCAAAATGAGTTTGACACCCCTGCTGTAAGATGTGACAGCTAACAAAATTGTTTTAACACACAGCTATTTTCTCTGTCATTATGGAAACTTAAACAGCATCAATGAAGAGAGTCAAATTTTTTCATTCGCCCGAGGTAGTGTTGGCGTTGCGGAGGTTACAAAAGATTACAAAAAGTAGCCTATTTACTGGATTCACATTTAAACATTGATGCCAAAGTATGATTTTTTAGTATATTTTCAGCATTATGATTTGTGATTGCACCAACAAAATTGTACAATAAAACACTGCGCAACAGTTGATGACTTGACTGGACTACAGATTTGAGCACTTAGCCAAGTTGTAAGTGTCAAAAGGCTAGCAGAGTATTTTTAGCCGTGAGTGCGTTGGTTAAGGCTAAAGCTGCATGTCAAACAACAGATAAATATAGGCCAGAACCTCCGCTCGGACACTATCGATCGGTCTTGGTTATGCATTGATTTTATGTAACCTTTTGTCTGGCTGCAGATGAAAACACAGGATACAGACAGTCAAACATGGAAAAACGAAGTAAATGTCATTATTTCACAGCAAAAACGAAAAATGTGGTACCACTTTATAGCTAAAAATATGTTACAGAAAAAGTATGAACCATGAACTATAATCGCATCGCTCAAACTGGAATTGCGCCGCCAACCTGTGGATCAGTGGATCTGACTGCTCCCCCAGTGATGCTTATGTTGAGAATAGGATTCAAACCGCCAACCTTCAGATCACTGGGTAAACACTCTACCAACTGAGCGACTGTTGGCCCACTGTACTTTTCTGGTGGAGGTTACGCCACTGCTGCATAGAATGTTTCACACCTTTAACATGCTTGTCTTACATTTATTCCATTTCAAGTATTCAAATGCCTTGAAAATCATGCATTATCACTTGAGTGAAGTCACCTTTCCACAGATCTGACCTATAACTTAGCCTGGTGGTATCATCTGCTAGTCTCCATGGAGATACAGACTAGGCCCGACCGGTATATTGGTTGGCTGATATTACCGATCGATATGGGCACTTGGAGACATATCGGCAATCGGTCTAAATAGTCTGATAGTCCACACGGGCATGTTATACCTCATTATAAGGTTTAGACTCTCTATATTATGTCCATTTAATCCAATTTACAGAGAGATAAATGTCCTAATATGTGGCCCCGCATCAATATTTATCTGCGGAGTAATTTGTCTGTGTCTATGACGCCGTGCTGCCCCTGAACGCACCCACAGAGTCATGTCACACACATGCCGCTGCTGTCAACATGCTGGATTATATTTATATTCATGGATGATCCTTTTGAGTCACGATTAAAAGGACACTTATCTGTGAAGACTTGTGATCTGAGAGGAGCCTGTGTGGGCAGTGAGTGTTACAAATGTGTCGGTTTTGAAGCTGCTTTTGGTTCTTTCTCATTGGTTAGTGATTAGCTGCTGTAAGCTCCCACACATAAACAGCCTGTTTTCTCTTACATTGGCCTAGTGTAAGGTGACATTAGAGGCTGTACACATGTTACTGGACCTGCATTGATATGTCAGTGAGCTGTGAATTGACGTGTGCATTATTGGCATTTACACATGTAATTGATAACCGCGGCACACACGCATTTACCACTAAAGGCTGATAGTGGTAGTTTACTTACTTTACTGGCTAGAATGTGATGCAAAAATGCCATAAGGCCAACCTACTGTCTTTAAATATAACTGTAAAGAGGCAGAGTAACAATAAATTTAGCCTAAACAAACTCAATATAAAATCCAGTAAAGCCAGACCTAAGTTTTATAATCACTTGAAGATTTATAGTGATTTTTTACATCACTAAATATATCAGCTTTTATACCATTATCTGCACCTCCAATTCCCATTTCATCAGTATCATATCGGCCGCAAAAAAATCCATATCCGTCAGGCTCTAATACAAACACACCATCTCATTCTTCATATAATATAATATATATATTCCATCTCCTTGAAGACAAATGTGGGACGCCTTCAACCAGAAAACGTACAAAGTGCAACTTCAAGTGTAAAAATATCCTCCATAAACAGGATTAACATTCTGAATTCAACCCATGTTAAATGTTTGCAGTGTTTTGTAATGAATTCATATTGTGGCTATCAGTGTCACCCCAGATTGCCACTCCGTCAGTCTGCCCTCAAGAAAAACAAACCAAAACAGGTCTACAAGTCTGAACGCCGGCATAAATCAATAACACAAATAGAATAATCATATGTATTTATGCATTGGCTCCGAATTTTCTAGTTTTATTTTAGTGCCAGGGGCTAACTTGTTTTGAGTCCCGCTCCTACAAATGTGAAAAATATCAAAAGACTGGATGTGAATAATGTCGAGGAATAAGAAAGAGAAAACTTTAACTATGATTTAAGGAGACAAACTTTGAAAGCTCACTCAAAACAATTAGTATTTTAAAATCCACCAATATTTTCACTTTTTGATAAGACATGCTTTGATTTTTTTTAAACAAAACTAACAAGTTCTACACAATTAAAGTGGGACTAATGGCTAAACTCCACCCACAACCACATGTCAAATAGAGCTGATAAACTGTCCCGTACCTGGAGGACCAAAGAAGAGAGTGAGAGGATGCAGGGTTTGGAGGTATAAGGAAAATCTGTGTATCATTTGTTCGTTCATTTGTTTGTTCGTTTTTCAGTATAAAACCAAAAATAAGAAAATGAAGTAACAAGTGTTTTCTTCATTATTTGTCTTCAAAATCAAAACGATTTTCGATTTTGTGTTTAAGTGAATAATGGAAAAAATGATTAACGGCCGTTTCCCGTTTCCCACGACTTTTGTGACTGTGATGACGGACTTTTGCGCTGCACACGGACTGAATCAGGACTAAACCAGGTCCGGGATCAGACCAGGACTGAGACCAGGATTGAGACCGGGAACAGGACCAGAACTGAGACGGGGACCAGACCCTGACTGAGACCGGGACCAGACCAGGACTGAAAACGGTTTAGTACTGGTTTAGTCCAGTTTTAGTCCAGTTTTAGTCCTGATTCAGTCCGTATGTGGCACAAAAGTCCGACATCGCAGTCATGGAAGTCGTGGAAACGGCCGTTATCCATTTTTTCCATTCTTCATTTAAACACAAAATCGAAAACTGAAAAAACAAATCGTTTTCCATTTTTTTGTTTTGGTTTATAATGAAGAAAACTGTTGTTTTTTCATTTTCTTATTTTTGGTTTTATACTGAAAAATGAATGAACGAATGATACACGGATTAAGGAACAGTGTGATTTGCAGGGCAGGACAGTCCTGTGTAATGTCACGTAGTACTTGAAACTGCAGTGGCCAATGGAGGCAGCACACTCACTTTTTAACTGCTTTGACTAAAAACTTGCCATAAAGGGACTGGGAAAAAAGTAGACAGCGGTATTAAAGCTAAAATGATATACAGAGTTTAGTAGCAAAAAAAAAAGTTGACAGGTTAGGATCCAGGAAATGAATGTAAATCAATGTAAGGTCCCTATTATAAAGCGTTCAGAAGAGTACCTCCTTTTATATCTCTGACTGACACTGAGAGCAAAAATCCAGCCATGTGTGACTCCCTGTTGGCTAGGTG